ATCGCAACCCAGCCATAGCCCAGCAGGAAGACCACCGTCAGCACAAGCAAGTGCCAGCCCAGCAGGGCCCACCAGCCCTGGTACCGCGCCACCGCCACCGGACTCATGTCGATGCCCCGCTCAGTGAGCTTAAGAGTGATCCATTTTTGCAGCCCTATTACCCATATGTCGAGCTCCTCGGCAAGGTCATCCATCCAGCTCTTTTCAGCCATCTTCCCTCCTGTCAGAGGCACTCGCGGGATGATGCTGCAGCGCAAGCCGTGGGAGAGTCAAGGGAAGCGAGCAAGAGCCGGGCAGACAGCCTCAGGCCCAGCGCATCGCAGCCCCTGGCGCCGGAGCCGGGATCCGCGGATGATGCAGCTGCCGGAGCCGGGAGCCGGGAGCCGCGGTTGATGCTGCTGCCGGAGCCGGGATCCGCCGTTGACGCAGCTGCTGCGCCAGAGCCCGGATCAGCTGTTGACGCAGCTGCCGAGCTGGGGTCCGCCGTTGACGCGGCTGCGGCGGTGCCAGAACCCGGATCAGCCGTTGACGCAGCTGCCGGGAGGAGAGGGAGGGAGGGAGGAGAGGGGCTCCCAGCTCCCCCTCCTCTGCCGCCGCAGGGAGGAGGGGGCGGCGGAGGGAGTGTCTCCAGTGGCGGCCACTAGGCGGCGTCAGGGCGCCAGTGCCGCCAGGCTGACCTCCCTGGGCGAACAAAAAACGCACCGGGGGGAAGGGGCGCGGGTCACATCTACACACAAACCTTTAAAAATATAAAAGCCATTTAGCTCACAGGCCACACAAGGACAGCTGCAGATGGCGCCGGCCCATCATCTGCAGGTTCCCGACCTCCAATGTAGATACAGAACAGTCAGGGAAGGGTGGGTCAACAGGATGGCTGGGACTCATGCAAATGTTACATCGGGGACTATCTAAATAAGAATTAATTTTATAAATAGTTCCTAGTGCACACTTCCAAATAATGACAAATTTGTTCCTACATAACTTCGACTATGGAAACTAGCAGCACAGCATGTACAGGAGGGTCCTGTGACTAAGCACCAGGAACAGCGCAGCCCGAAGCGAAGGTTCTCCGCCCTCCATCAGTGGCTGCTGCACCCTGCCCTCTCCCCCAAACGCATGCCTGCAGTTCAGCTCTTCTTGTAGTTGGCACTTAAATAAACTCAGTAACTCAACACAGGAGAAAAGACGTATTTTCCCTTCGTAACTGCCTGGATTGTATATATATATTTAACAGAGAACATATACTAACTGCTTGTGAGAGCTGGTGGTATACAGCCCTGTTCCCAGTGATGGAAACAAAGACACACAGGAAACAGGAACTAGAAATGCCAGGTCAGAAGGCCCAGGGCTCTGCAGGACCTGTCTTCCGCATTCTGACTACATGAGGGGAACTTTTAGCCGGAATTTCCTACCTCACCACAAGCCAAATTTCACATGTACCTCAGAATGTGACCCTGTTTAGAATTAGGGTCTTTGCAGATGTAATTAGTTAAGATGAGGTCATACTGGACTAGGGTGGGCCTAAAGCCAGTGAATAGCGTCCTTATAAGAAGAGAAGGCTGCCTTGACCGGTTTGGCTCAGTGGATAGAGCCTCGGCCTGCGGACTGAAAGGTCCCAGGTTCGATTCCGGTCAAGGGCATGTACTTTGGTTGCGGGCACATCCCCAGTAGGGGGCGTGCAGGAGGCAGCTGATCGATGTTTCTCTCTCATGGATGTTTCTAACTCTCTGTCCCTCTCCCTTCCTCTCTGTAAAAAAATCAATAAAATATATTTTAAAAAAAAGAAGAAGAGAAGGCAAAGCCCTGGCTGATGAGGTTCAGTTGGTTGGGCATGGGCCAGGGCATGGAAAGATTTCCAGTTCTATTCCCTGTCAGAGCACATTGCTTGGGTTGTGGGCTTGATCCACCATAGGGGGCATATAGGAGGCAGCTGGCTAATGTTTCACTCTCATATCAATGTTTCTCTCTCAAAATAATTTTTTTAAGAGAGAAGACACACACACACACACAGGGAAGAAGGCCACGTGAAGACTGGTGCAGAGATTGGAGTGATGAAGTTACAAGCCATAGAGTGCCAAGGATGGCCAGGAGCCAACAGAAGCCAGGAAGGAAAGATTTTTTCCTAGAATATTCAGAGAGAGCATGGCCCTGACAATACTTTGATTTTAGATTTCTAACCTCCAGAGCTGTGAGAATAAATTTCTATTGTTTTAGTCACTATGTTTGTGGTAATTTGTTATGACAGCACCAGGAATCTACTCTACCCACCCAAATGGAGAGTGGCACCTTTTGTAACCAATGACAACAGTAACACTAATCAAATAATGAATAGCGAAACTTAACTCTGCCAACTCTAATTCAACAACAGCAAATCCCTGGTGCTTTTCTACAATAGCAGAGATAGGTAGCTACCACTAGAAAGACCGAAATTTAGTATATACCTATATTGCCCAAAAGCAGTCAAAATGACTGCATTGTGAAAGAATAATATCGGAGCACTCTTCACTTATGTTCCTTAGCTTTTCCAATAACTCACTTCTATTCGACATTTCTTTCATGAATTTAGGTCACAAAAGAAATAAAATAAACAACTTATAGGTATAACACACATATATATACTGGAAATGAAGGAGGGGGAGGTAACTACAATTATTAATAAACGCATTTATATGTTGTATAAAAAGTCACAAAATTCTAAGAAATTCTGTCATTATATACATCATTGTTTTTCTAACTGAAATTAAAAAGCAGTCAAAATGACTTCCTTGGGCAATCTAGTGTTAATTATGTGGACAAGAGAATACGGTAGTTAATTGCATGGGCAAGAGGAGGAAGCAGGGCATGTCCTGATATCATTTAAAAAGTGAAAATCAAATTTTCAGATTTTCCTTGGTTTAGTAAACAATGCTTCCAGAAATATTAAAGTAATTTTGTTTATGTCAATACAGCTAAAAATTTAAGCTTTGTAGTATCCAAGTCTACCACTACACAATTTAAGCCTTAAAGTTACTTCCAAGCATTTTTTTTGTTTTATTGCTTAAAGTATTACAAAGAGTATTATACATGTCTCCTTTTTTTTTCTCCCCTTGACCTTCCCCTAGCCTCCCATACCTCCCAGTGTCGTGTGTCCACTGGTTATGCTCATATGCATGCATACAAGTCCTTCAGTTGATCTCTTACCCACCCCCCACTTCCAAGCATTTTGATAACCTTTGTTTACAGGACATAGAAAGTAGGAAAAAATGTTGATCTATCAATTGAGCATTAACTATATACAGAGCACTGATCTCACCACTGAGTGAGGTGACTACTTAAGAAGGGAGCAGAGCTATTTCGGTTGACGGAGAGCAAGAACAATAGGAGCTACTAATTTATAGAATGCAGGGGTAGAAAGGCCCCCAAAAGCCAGCTTTACTGCCCTAACCGGTTTGGCTCAGTGGATAGAGCATCAGCCTGCGGACTCAAGGGTCCCCGGTTTGATTCCGGTCAAGGGCATGTACCTTGGTTGCGGGCACATCCCTAGTGGGGAGTTTGCAGGAGGCAGCTGATCGATGTTTCTAACTCTCTATCCCTCGCTCCCTTCCTCTCTGCAAAAAATCAATAAAATATATATTTTTTAAAAAGCCAGCCTTACCATTTTATTTAAGAATTGAAGAACTCGCCCAGCTGGTGTGGCTCAGCAGTTGAGCATCAACTTATGAACCAGAAGACTGAGATTCAATTCCTGGTCAGGGCATATGTCCGAGGTTGTGGGCTTGAGCTTCTCTCATCACTGATGTTTCTATCTCTTTCTCCTTTCCTCTCTGAAATTAATAAAAAATATGTATATATTTTTAAAAGAATTGAAAGGTTTTTATGGATGACTTGCTGCTCTCCCATACTGCCAGCATTATTGGAATAAACGCTCATATAAAAATAAAAATAAAAAATAAAAATAGGTCTGACATACGAAGCCTGAGCTGTCAGCTGGCCATCCTCCAGGGCAATGGTGAGGAGTCAGGGATGCCCAGCCCCGCTTTCATGCCTACTTCCCCTCCTGGCAGCAGCTCAGCCTCTCCCCCTCCGTCTGCCCCCCCACCCCCACCCCCACCAGGCTCTGAGAAGAACTGCTGCCCTGTTAACTGGGTGGAGCATGAAGGCAGCTGCTATTGGTTCTCTCGGACTGCGAAGCCCTGGCCCGAGGCTGAGAAGTACTGCCAGCTGGAGAACGGGCACCTGGTGGTGGTCGGCTCCTGGGAGGAGCAGGTGAGGGCTCGGAGGGCTCCTTGGGGAGTCGGTCTGCTCTATGGAGAGGTCACCATCCTCCTCTCTCCCCAGAGATTTGTCCAGCACCACATGGGCCCCGTGAACACCTGGATGGGCCTCACTGACCAAGATGGGCCCTGGAGATGGATAGACGGGTCAGACTACGAGAAGGGCTTCCAGTGAGTATGTGTGCGGTGTGCTCTGCACTGGCCTCCACTACAACCCCCTCCCCCGCGCCCTGCTGCCCTTGGCGGGTCCAAGGGCAAGAGGGGCTCCTCGGCTTGGCTGAGGGTCTGGCCTCCTGGGGCCCAATCTGTCTGGTCTTCTTAGGAACTGGAGGCCAGATCAGCCGGACGACTGGACCGGGCACGGGCTTGGGGGAGGCGAGGACTGTGCCCACCTCACAGATGATGGCCGCTGGAATGACGACGTCTGCCGGAGGCCCTACCGCTGGGTCTGCGAGGCAGAGCTGGGCAGGCCCACCCAGGAGCCTCCGCTCCCCTAATTTATTTCCTCGATGCCTTCACCTGTTGAAGGCTCCTCACTTTGGGATCCTCCTATCTGGGGCTTCCTGCACATTCTTGGGGCTTTTCATCTGGGCTGTAGGGGAGGGGAGAGGATGGTGACCGAGGAATGCAGAGGATGCTCGGAAGGGCGGGGAGATTGAGGGCTATGCCACTCTCTACGGTTTGCAGGTTACTGTCAACTTTTTTTTTTTTTGAGTAAAAAGAGAAATATACGAAGCAGTCTGAGTTGACTAATTATGAGGGATTAACAGTGGGGAATGGGCTCGGCCGGTGTGGCTCCGTGGTTGAGTGTCGACCTATGAACCAGTAGGTCAGGGCTCGAATCCCATGCAGGAGGCAGCCGATCAATGATTCTCTCTCATCATTGATGTTCCGACCTCTCTATTCCTCACCCTTCCTCTCTCTCTCTAAAGAAAATCAATAAACAAAGAAAAGAAAAGAAAAGAAAAAAAAAGCATGGGAAATGGACTTGTTGGCACGGGGAAGCCTAGGGCAGGTAATGGGTTAGCGTGGGATCGGTATGGCTTTGGGCCGGAGGGAGGGATTCACTGTTTACAGGCGTGTGATTTAGAGCAAGTTACTCTGCTCTCCGAGTCTCAGCTGGAACAAGGTGTTGTGCTGGGAGCATCCTTCCAGCAACACCCACCCTGCCCCCTCTGCCCCCCAGTGTTAGGTAGGAGAGAGCTCAGGATGGATACATGCAGACGTGTGATGAGATAATGGACTTCCCCTGGAATTTCTCACAGATCAACCTGCCAGACACACATACTGGCTTCTTCTCCCTGAGTCCACATACCCCCACACAGACAGACTCCTTCCTGAATACCTTGCTGACCCCCTGCAGCTGAATACCTCAGCTCATGTCCCCGCCCCTCACCTCCCCCGCCTTGGCGTGAATCCACGTGCCCTGTCTTTGGGGTGCGTGGGTCTCCCGGGGACACAGAAATAAACCTTTTCCTTTTCTTTCTTTTTCTGATTCACTGGACTGTCTTTATTTCCTATGCCGCCTCCTGAGCCACCCAACCCAACACCCAGCAGGGCCGCCCGTGTGTCAGGCGCTTCGGAGGCTCCAGCTGAAGCTCCTCGGCGTCCGTTCCAGCATCACAGTGGAGAAAAGCAGCGGCCACAGGCGGCAAGTGCAGGGACCCAAAGCGGGGCCCCAACCAAGGGCACCACGCTCAGGACAGCCAGCGCCACAGAAGGGCAGACCCCAGAGAAGTAGAATCCACAACCCAGGACAGGGGTCAACAGGACAAACAGACCAAGGCTCTACAGACACTTCCGGGTTTGTCAGCAAGCATTCACCGTTAGCCACAAACAAGCCCCCAGCTAATTCTAAACAGGACCCCAATAAAACAGTTAGACCTGAAAACAAGTAGAACCGAAAAGGACTGTCACATCTGCCTTTCTCACCAACTTTCTAGATAAACTTTAAGAGAAAATCAAAGTAGACGCAAGTGAATTAGAAATGGACAAGGGGAGCACTACACACTGGGGTGTGGGTGGTCTAACGCACCGCCCAGGAGGAGCTGTGCAGAGCCTTCCACACACTTATTAAAAAAATTAAGAAAGGGTGAGTTGAAATAAGCTGTTTTAACTCGAGAAACTTCAAAAAAACAAAAAAACCCCAAATAAATCCCCCAAATAGAAGAAAGGGACTTTTTTTTAAAAAAGCAAAAACTAATGAAGTAGGATATAAAAATGTAGATATGACCTACACAATTAAAACCTGATTCTCGGGGACTAAAATAAACGTGAAGGGGCCTTGGCCAGTGTGCCTCAGTGGGTAGAGCGCTGGCCCTCGGATGAAGGGTCCTGGGTCGGATTCCGGTCCAGTGTACCTACTTGGTTGCAGGCTGCATCCCTGGACCTGGTCAGGGTGTGTGGGAGGCAACCAATTGATATGTCTCTCTCACATGGATGTTTCTCTGTGTCTGTCTCTCCCCCTCTCTCTTAAAAAATCAATGGAGCCCTAACCGGTTTGGCTCAGTGGATAGAGCGTCGGCCTGCAGACTGAAGGGTCCCAGGTTCGATTCCGGTCAAGAGCATGTACCTTGGTTGCGGGCACATCCCCAGTGGGGGGTGTTCAGGAGGCAGCTGATCGATGTTTCTCTCTCATCAATGTTTCCAACTCTCTATCCCTCTCCCTTCCTCTCTGTAAAAAGTCAATAAAATATTAAAAAAAAATCAATGGAAAAATATCCTTGGGTGAGGATTAACCAAAAAGACGCCCCCCCCCCCAACAAAACAAAACAAAAACATGAAGGAGAAAAAAGAAACACAGACACATGACCGTAGGAAGGAGGCAGGTCAGGGGACAGGTGTGGAGGCTCTAATCGTGTAACACAGTGGTTCTCAACCTTGGCTGCGCATTAGAATCACCTGGGAATCTTCTTAAAATCCTGATTTCTGGGCCTCATCCTCCGGAAATTCTGTTTCTTTGTTATGGGCGGGTGGGAAGGGGGGCACAACATTAGTAACAAAGAAACAGAATTTCCGGGGGATGAGGCCCAGAAATCAGGATTTTAAGAAGATTCCCAGGTGATTCTAACGTGCAGCCAAGGTTGAGAACCACTGGTCTAACCCTTCCAGATCGGAAACAGCGAGTCAAGGCTGAATTTCCCCTCCATCGCTGTAACCTTTAGGTTACTCTCTTAGAAGCAGAGTTTATAACTTCCCAACTTAGAAAGGAGAAAAAACGAAAAAAAAAGTTAATTTGAGGGAAGGCAGGAAAGGAGAAAAAAAGAAATAGAACCGGTAGATAAGAAAAGCTCAACTAAAAGGTTAGTCCATAATCCAAGTACGTTGCTGAGTATATTAAATGCAAAAGACTATGCTGCTGTAAAAAAGAAGGAACTCTTACCATTTGCAACAGCATGGATGGAACTGGAGAGCATTATGCTGAGTGAAATAAGCCAGTCAGTGAAAGAAAAATACCACATGATCTCACTCATTTATGGATAATAAAGACCATTATAAACTGATGAACAAAAATAGATACAGAGGCAGAGCAGCATCGAATAGACTGTCAAGCTACAGTGGGAAGGCAGGGGAGGGTTGGGGGCAGGAGGGAGGGGGGTAAGAGATCAACCGAAGGACTTGTATGCACGCATATAAGCATAACCAATGGACACAAGACACTGGGGGGTAGGGAGGCCGGGGGAAGGTCAAGGGGGGGGAAAAAAAGGAGACATATGTAATACTCTTTGTAATACTTTAAGCAATAAAACAAAATTAAAAAAAAAAGTCAAAGGAAAACTCAAAAATAAAATGCAAAAGACTAACTTATCTTGTTAAAGGGAAAAGACTTCCAGACAGAATAAAGAATACAGTCCAACCGTGGGCCCCAGAGACACATCTAAAACAGAGGAGTTGAAAGCGAAAGCAGGCAAAAGATCTGCCAGGCAAGTTCTAGCCAAAGCAATGATCACACAAAGTATAATTTATAAGAAAGTGCTATTAGAAATGCCACTTCCTAGTGATAAAAGGTTTACTTTGACAGGAAGATACTGGTATTAACTATATGTGCATGGGATAAGAGGACCACGAAATATCTGAAACAAAAGTTTTGGAAGTACAAGAACACATGGACAAATGTGCATTTATAGTAGGAGATGGTAATACATCTCTCTAGCAATTGCCAGATCAAGCAGATAAACAAAAATCCCTAAGGACACATGTTTTGAACTTCAGGTTGTAGTATTACGATGCAATAGACACACTTAGTACACTGTACTCATTACCTGCGGAATACTCATTCTTTTCAAGTACACTGGGGCATTTAAAAAATGTGAGCAAATTACATAAAGCAAGTTTTTTTAAATATATATTTTATTGATTTTTTTACAGAGAGGAAGGGAGAGGGGTAGAGAGTTAGATACATCGATGAGAGAGAAACATTGATCAGCTGCCTCCTGCACACCCACTACTGGGGATGTGCCCGCAACCAAGGTACATGCCCTCGACCGGAATCGAACCTGGGACCCTTCAGTCCGCAGGCCAACGCTCTATCCACTGAGCCAAATGGTTAGGGAACATAGAGCAGGTTTTAACTAATTTCAGATAGAGAATTTTTTTTAAAAAAATATTTTTATTATTTTTTAAAAATATATTTTATTGATTTTTTACAGAGAGGAAGGGAGAGGGATAGAGAGTTAGAAACATCGATCAGCTGCCTCCTGCACATTCCCTACTGGGGATGTGCCTGCAACCAAGGTACATGCCCTTGACCAGAATCGAACCTGGGACCCTTGAGTCCACAGGCTAACGCACTATCCACTGAGCCAAACCGGTTAGGGCTATATTTTTATTATTGCTTTCTGAGAGAAAGGGAGAGGGAGAGAGAAATAGAAACATCAATGATGCGAATCATTGATCGGCTGCCTCCAGCATGTCCCCAGGCCCCCAACTGGGGATTGAGTCCACAACCCGGGCACGTGCCCTTGACCGGAATGGAACCCAGGACTCTTCAGTTTGCAGAACAACGCTGTATCCACTGAACCAAACTGGCTAAGGCTCAAATAAGGAATTCTTTACCACAATCACTAGAAGTGTAAAATCCCTAAGTAAAACATTAGCTAACCCAGTCAAATGGTGTATTAACAGAGATATGTTCAAGTAGCATCTATGCCAAGAATTCAAAGATGGTTTAACATCAGAAAACATTTATTTATTTGAATACATTTTTATTGATTTCAGAGTGGAAGGGAGAGGGAGAAAGAGAAACATCAATGATGAGAATCACTGATCGGCTGCCCTCTGCACGCCCCCTTACTGGGGATCAAGCCTGCAACCCAGGCATGTGCCCCGACCGACTGGAATCAAACCTGGGACCCTTCAGTCTGCAGGCCAACACTCTATCCACTGAGCCAAACCGGCCAGGGCCAGAACACATTTATTAATAAAATAGGCTTAGGGAGAGCAGAAGACTAGATTAATGGAGTATAAAAGAAAAAAAAAATCACAATGCAGAGAAAGCACTTGAAGCAAGTTTAACACCTACTAACGAGAAAATCTTTTAGGATCTCAGCTGCTTCTATTTTGTTATCCTCAACATGTGGATTTTATCAAGTTTTCAGACGTCTGCCCCACTCCAGCCACATCCCAGGCAGGAGAGAAGAGCGGAGAATGGCTCTCTCTCTCCCTCTGAGGACACTTCTGGAAGTTGGATGATCTTACATCTGTTTGATCAGAACTAGTCCCAGGGCCACCG